GTGTCCTGATTTCTGCAGTTCACATTTTCACCACTGTGTGGTGAGTATATTCCAGAGCTTCTAATCTAATGTGAGATGTTTAGGTGCTGCATGTTAGGTATGCGTCAGCAGTCTGGACCCAGAGAACAGGAAAACACAATGCAAGCACCTTTTCAACACCCTCCCCAGTAAAACTGAACTGTGGGCTTAAACCCACAATAGGTGGCTTAGGGAGTCACGAAAAGGCCATAATACTACTCTCAATAGAGATGCCCCAACTGGACCAAAGTCATAAAGTGTCAGAATTAAAAAAAAAAAAAGAAGAAGAAGATAAACACTATTTAACACAAAGTTGTTTTATTTAAAAGTTGTTTGTTCCATCATATTAAACAGGCAACTTCAAAGGTGACCTGCTGTAGAAAATTAATATTTCTACCAATTATATTTGTATATAACCTTTACAGTGAGCAAAAACAACCCTGGAACAAACATATAGTCACTCTGGGCTGTGGAAACGTGAACTCAGATTCAACATCGAGGTTAATGCAAACAGATCATAGAAACTAGCAGAAACTGTTACTGCCAGCGTTTTGTTTAAATGGCTGAAAGGAGAAAATCAGTGAGCTCAGCATAATCCTTTCAAAGCACTGCAGCCGTCCCTTTGGCTGTCCTGGTCAGCATGATGCTCCAGTGCAGATGCTCAATGCCAGGCCTGCTCTCCCCTCGTCCTCTCCAACCGTGGATTTTCCACCGCTTTATCTGACCTGAGCCTCCAAACTATTCCAGCCCACACAATGTAAAACTCTGCCTAATCAGTTCTGTTGCCATCAGCCCAATTTGTACCAATCCAGAGAACAAATGGAGAAATTGAGAAATTCCTCGTGCTTTATAGATCACACCTCTGATTAGTCAATGTGAACTGCTGATGCTACTTTAACTAGATGAAATAAAAAGAAAATAGTTTAAAATCATTAAAAAAAAATTCACACAGTATTAATATTATCTTCAGTGCTTGGAGAAATATCTTGATTGCTGGAAAATCAAACAAGTTAGTGCAGTTAGTTCACTGCACTAACAGGTTCTTCCCACCACTTGCTCACTGCTCTTGTTTTTGAGGTTCAAGACCACTGCAGTTTCTCAGGGGGGGTTCAGAGTCAGCGATGGGCTACTGATTGGTGTTTTATTGCCAGCTTTTTTGGTCGAATGCTTCAGCCAGGCTGTTGGAGGTACATAGGTGCTCTCATTCTCCTGCAATGAACCCAGAGTTGTAGCTGAAGCCCTAAAAAGATGGAAAACCACATGGAAATGTAAGAAGTCCAAACTGTAAATGCTTGCCAACCATGATTTTTGTTCTCTGGCCCACTTTGATTAGTTCATGGCCTTTTAGGTTTGTGTTTTTCTTTTACAATAAGCTGAGGGTAATCAAGGCAAGAAAAGGGTTAAATTGCTTTGTTTTGATTTGCGGTATTGTGCAGTGACCCCTCCCCTGGACTGTGTGGCACTGCCTTGGACCTGGGGTGTTATAAAAAGGCCCCCGAGCTCCCCCTGCTCTGGTAAAGAGGCTGAATGTCTGCAGGACATGCTTACCGTTTGTCTATCCATGTTCTTCTACTAACAACCAGCGGGATTGGCATATAGATGCGCAGAGACTGGCGTACTGCTCCACTCAGGAGCTCTCTATGACAGAAAGCAGAACGGCAGATTATTTGCAGTTGCACGAGAGTTGCGAGTTAGTAAGGTGTAAATTTTGTCGCTATTAGATTGAGAGAGGTCTTTTTTCGGTTTAAGAGCAAATTTTGCTCTTTGTTTTTTAGTGTCAAACTCAGTCAATCCTGTGGAGAAACATCTTCTCCTTTTAGTTGATTAGTTGTTGACTTTTCATCCCTCCACTCAGAAGTTGCTTTTTGACCTTTCGCCACCATGTGGGAGTTCAGGTCCATGTCTTTCTGGCGGGCGGTGTTTGCTGAGTTCTATGGCACAATGTTCTTCGTGTTCTTCGGGCTGGGGGCGGCCCTCCGCTGGACCACCGGGCCCCATAATGTTCTTCATGTTGCCTTTTGCTTTGGTTTGGCGGCCGCCACCTTCATCCAGTCTATTGGCCACATCAGTGGAGGACACATCAACCCAGCCGTTACCTTTGCCTACCTGATTGGCTCTCAGATGTCCCTGTTCCGTGCTTTCTTCTACATCATTGCCCAGTGTCTCGGAGCGCTGGCTGGTGCTGCTGTGCTCTATGGGGTCACACCCAACAACATGCGGGGAAACTTGGCACTGAACACGGTAAGATTGCCGTCACCTGCTGTTACCTATCATTTTCCCATACTCGGAAAGGAACTATAAATTAAAATACTTTGCAACTAGGTGCACTCTTTCTTGAGACTGGATGGATGTATTGAAAGCTAAATGTCTGTTTCAATTTCAAACAGTGTTTGTCTTGACTTCTCAGTTCAATCCATCCCTCTGTCTTTCCCTCTGCAGCTACAGCCAGGCATCAGCTTGGGCATGGCCACCACAATTGAGATTTTCCTCACCCTCCAGCTTGTCGTCTGCATCTTTGCTGTGACAGATGAGAGACGCAACGGACGCCTGGGCTCTGCTGCTTTGGCCATCGGCTTCTCTGTGCTCATGGGGCATCTTCTTGGGGTAAAAACCAACCCGGGGTCTATAAATTTGAAAATACACTCCGGGTTCATACAACGATATCCTAACAAGCTAAACAAGCATCTTTACAGTCCTAATCCCGACTTGTCTTTCTTTCTCTTACCTAGATGTACTACACTGGCGCCGGAATGAACCCTGCAAGGTCCTTTGCTCCAGCTGTTCTGGTCAGGAATTTTGTCAACCATTGGGTAAGATAACTGTATCTGCAAAATGACTTCACACCATAGCATGAACATGACATCCTCAGACTAAACAACACTGTCTGCTCTCTGTCATATCTGTAAACAACAGGTGTACTGGGTGGGTCCTATGATTGGTGGTGCCATGGGTGCCTTGCTGTATGACTTCATGCTGTTCCCTCGTTTCCGTGGCCTCTCCGAGAGGCTCGCCACACTGAAGGGCGCCCGATCCCCAGAGGCCGACGGCCAGCAGGAGACCAGGGGGGAGCCCATCGAGCTCAAGACACAGGCCCTATAAGCCCGGAGTTAGAAGATTGGCTTTTCTGAACCCCCTCCTCCCGCCCACCTCATCCCTCACCTGTCATGCCTCCCTCTGCACCCTCAGTTCCTGGTCCATCCTCAGCCCACACACTACTTTTGCACACATACCTCCTCCCTGTCTCAACACATGCTACTATAGATCCCAAACGTTTTGTTTTCCTTTTTTTGAATCTAGAACTGGACCTCCTGATTTACAGTAAAGGGGCACCCACAGCCCTGGTCATCCTTTCTGATTTTACCACTACCCATCCTACATTTTCTTCTTCTCCCCTTGGATCACAGGACAAAGATGGAGGGTTGGAAGAAGACTTGCCACTGACAGAAGCACCCTGTGCCCTGTGGTGTGGGGAGTCAGTCACTCCTGGCTGACCAGGTGGCTATATACTGCTCAGGACAGGGGCTGCTATTGCTGTCTTTCCTTTGCTTCCCTTTCTCTTTCTTTTCTATTTTTTCCCTCCTTCCTATTTTGTAGTCTGCTAGGAGTGACGCTACAATAGAGCAGTGGACTTCTGAATGCTTTTTTTCCCCGTTTTGATCCAGTGTGATCTCGCCCTTTGTTTGTTTTGTTCCATGAACTTTGGGTAAATTACATGTAGTTATTGTACTTCACTAGTATTTATTTGGCTTATGTGCAAGTGCATGCATGATGAGGAGTGAGAGAAAGACAGTGTGCTTGCGTGTCTGTGTGCATGTGTATGCTTGTGTGTTTGTTTTAACTGATCATTCCTTTGTTTGTGTTTTGAGTTTTCTTTTCATCTATTTTGCCAGCTTTTTTTAGAGAAAGACGCTCCCTTTTTATTGCGCTCGCTAAAACCACAAAAGTCCAATACACCAATTCAATCAATTCCATGTTTAGAGTGGTCCTATTGTTTTTTAATGGCAGTTGAAGATCATTAATGCATTTGAATCCAGTCAGATTCAGGCAGTTCCAGGTTTGTGTCTCATCTAGTGAAGCACACGCACTCACATTCATATTTGTATTAAAATAAACAACAAAAACACCCAGTGAAATTATTTGAACTTTCAGAAATTCAGTGAAGTTATAATTGCAAATCCCTAAATTGTATTATTGCACCCATATATGCTAACCATTGTTTGTTTGTTTTAATGATTTCATTTCAGTGGGAAATCCGCTGGTTTACATAACCTCCACCATATCCCAAAACAGCTTCCTGAGAATTTGTTTTGGATGGTGACTTCCTGAGTTCATTTTTTTCTCCAAGCTTTAAAGCAGCGCTTACCAGATATTCATGTACAAGTGTGTAAAACTGGTTTGCTTTTACCTTCACGTGCCTGCCATGGTAAAACAAAGAGAGCAAACCTGACAGGAACAAGCATTTTCTCTTTGGACTGTGCTGTTTGACATGACTGAAGGGTCGTTCTACATCAGCTTGAGGTTAGAAATGAAAGAGTGCATGAGGTGTGACGGCTTCTTGCTGGTGTTAGCAAACACCTGGTGACTTCTCTTTTCTTAACTGTGCTGGGTGGCTCTCAAAGAGTGAGATCACTTCACTGGACAAGGCCCTCGGATATTTTGGGGGAAGAGACTGAACTCTTTAGTGTGCTTGTACAGGGCGGTGGATGTACACCTTTATTTTCATACAGTCTACACATGAGAGAATGAACTTTGAAGTTGAATTGGCCTGATGTCCCCTCTCTCTTCCATACCTCCTTCACTCACCCTACCTCCTCCCTTTGTTCACCAGGCAGCCACTCTGTTCCTCTGTCATGAGGGAACATCTTCAGCTGCTGGGATGGAGGGAAGGGGACAAGGTACCGAGATAAGTTAGCATTTTACAAATTACACCAGAGCAGTCACTGAACCAGATATGTAAGCTGATTCTCTTTCTGCTTCCTCTACATAATCTTTGTGTGTGTGTGTGTGTGTGTGTGTGTGATTTCCCTGGCAGTGGTTGAGTAGAAATTACATTTTAATGGCCTGTTGAAACTAGAACTTGTTTTCTAATGGGGGGAAAAAGCTTTGTGATGTACAGTGTATAGTGTTCTTCTTTTTTAATTTCATGACTGTTGAAACTGGACAGACAGGAAATATAATACGCTAGCTATGCAATGTCTCCCATTTGGCTAATGGATTATGGAAGCGACGCTGGTTATGTTATACAGCAATATGGTTTAATTCAATAGACAGCCTTTGTGGTAACAGGGATACCTTCCCAATCAAAATGCCATTGCTTATTTTTATATTTAAAAGAAAATCTGAAAATTATTAAGTTTCCAACTCCTGTTTTGTCTCCTTTCTTTTAGAGTAAGTGTAATAAAAAGAAATACAGGATTTAGATATATGCTTTCAGTCAGCATAGACCAATAAAGCAATTCTTATATTTATGCAGCAATCGTCATATAGTTAATAACACACTTCTCACTCCCAAACGAATCATTTCCATAAACAAATAAGATGAGATTGTGTACCTCGAAAGCTGTAATTCATCTGTCCGCAGCTGCTTGTACTGAAGAATATTTTCCACTGTGCAGTGATAACTCATGGATCTTGACTTAAGGGAGAAATGACCAATTTCTTGTAAATAAATTCAAACAAATGTTTTTGACTATTTACAGAAAAAGTGAAATTTTATTTGTCTCCACAGTGAAAGACTATAAGGATTGTAGTAGTATCCCCAGGGTGATATAAACAAAAGTCACTCCACAAGATATGAAAGGTTAAGTATACATATAACATCTGTTCTCAACATCCAACACACACTGTTATGTGATAACATGCACAGCACTGGCAGTGACGATAGGTAGTGCTAAACTTGTTGTAAAAACATCTTTTATGGGAATGACTGGTTTGGGTTAACATTCAATGCATATAAAAACAGCCATAATAAAATTGAAAAAAAAAATTAAAGCTCGGACAAGTGAGAAAACACTATAATGTGTCAGAATTACCGTTAGGTCCATGGGCGTTTGTACAACAGCACAATGTTTGTAGTTTTGCATCTGTGCTCCACCCCAGGGGTTTCTAAACCTGACAATCAACATGTGATTGAAGTGCAGATTTTCAGCTTTAATTCAAAGACTTTATCAAAAGTATTGCATTAAATGATCAGGAATTACAGACTTTTATAGACTATTCCATGGCAAACCCTCTGCTCTCATCCAAAATGCTGCAAAACTGTTTAAAATAGTGTTTCACATTGCAAAGGGACCCAAAGCAAACTGCTAAAGCGACCCAAGAGTTTGTAAAGGCAAAGAAAATAGGCTATACTTCAATGGCCAAGTCAACCACCTGATGTCAGCCCAGTACAGCACGATTTTCCTTCCTGTTAAGTGCAGAAATTTTAGTTTATCTAGTTATTTTTAAGCCTCTAAAATGTCAGTACTTTCCCGAACTGTTAATGCAATATTTTTGTTACACCCCTCCATTTGAAGCTACAAGTCTGCACTTCAATCACAACTTGAATATGTGATTTAAAAATCCACCGTGGTGGTGTACAGAGGCAAAACTACAAAGATTCTATTATTGTCCAAACGTCTATGGATTTAACTGTCTGTTTTCCTGAACTGCTTACTTAATAACATTATTGTTGTGCTTGAAAATAAAGGGAAATAAGGGGAAATCGGTTTGAAAATATATTTTTACTTTGACTCTTCTTTGGTATTTTTTTAGTATGCTTGGGCCATCAAAATGAGAACTTAAAAAAAACACGCACAGTGGCACAAAGTTCGTTGAAAACAATAAAACTAGAACTACTAAGTAACAGCTGACATTAAACAAGAAATTGTTTGATAGAACAGAAAACACAAAATTGAATTTTTAATTGACATACAGTAGATCTAATATAAACGTTGCCCATCACGCTTCATAACTTCTGACATTTTGCGCAGTCTGTCAGTGTTGTGACAGTCTCACAGTCACCACTGCCAGAAAAGGTGTTTATTCCTTAATGAGTATTTACCATGCGCTATATGCAGAGACTGAATGAATAATATACTGCAAGAAAAGTGAAAACACAAAGGGTTACATACAATGTATGACTAAAATAGACCAACATGCAATATACTCCAAACACTAATAAAACAAAATCCCCTGGTGTCTTAAAGTCCACTGGCCAGCAATGTCATGTGCCCTTGCCCTTTTTATACCCACTGTCACACTTATGGCCACTGTTGGAAAAAGGCGATAGTCTGTACAGTAATCCAAATCTTTTCCTAAATACAAGCAAAGAAACACACACACACAAACACACACACACAACAGAAGAGAAAAGAAAAGCAAAAAGAAAAGACATTAACAGACCTGCCACTAGGCAAGAAACATACAAAGTTCTTGTTGACATGCACACAAAGGCACAGATGGCTGCAAAAAAAGCATTTTTGTTCTGGTTTGTTCTCAGTTTTACTTTGGATTTAAACTGATTTTCTCCTCTTTCTTAACATGTTGAGTCCCAGACAAATCAAGTTTGTCTCAAAATCTTCACTGGTCGTAGTCCAAACTTTAGATGTTGAGAGTCAAGGAAGAGAATCTGCTCAAATGGTGGCACGTTTGTTACATGACAAGTCTGGCTTCAATCTCTAGCCGGCTTCTTCTTTGCTCAGCCCACAGGAAGACTCTAGATTAATCGAAAAAGGTCAAATCTGGTAGCCTAGAAAAAGAGAGCGCAAGCGTAAGATGTTACTGTCTAATAATCAGTCACCATTGCAATGGATGTCTTACAGAAATTAACCCAAAAAAAAAAACGTACATGGGCTCCAGGCCAGGATCTGTTGTTGCACCATCTATTATTTCATCAGAGAACTCTGATGAGTTAAACGGTGACTGGAACTGTTGCCTGAAAGAAGTAGCAATAGTTAAAAACCACAAAAATAATAAAATTTAAAAAAATAATAAAAATACGTATAGACCGCAGAAATCCACGATATAGATTCACAGATAAATGCGTGATGTAGTGAGTCCATGAAAGATGAACCGCGATGTGAAGCAGGAATACACGCATATGTATAGATGTTTATTTCCGTGGCACCGTTTAATGTAAATAAAATGTGAAAACATTTTATTTACATTACACAGACTGTCAAGTAGCATCGTAAATGTGGTACACAACAGCGAGTTACCTGTAGATATGCTGTTTTCAAGACGCAATAAAGAATATTCAAACAAAGTTGTTCACATTTCAATATTTTTTGTGCCCAGAATCTGAATATCTGATAATTTCTGATAATTTATAGATATTTATGTTGAAACAGGGAGTACGTGGTACAGAAGTGAAATATATAGAGTTATCACATTATCACTGGTTAATATGAACAGATTGCTCTAAATGAGATTAAAAAAATGTGTAGGCTTGATACTTACATAGAGAAGCTACTCTGTGAGGTTTCAGGCCCTTGTACTATAGGTGCTGGGGCTATAGGCTCCCTGCAAATGTATGTAAAATGAAAGGTAAGAACACAATGTGAAGCAAAAGGAAAGTCCAGATCAGTAGAAAAAAAAAAAAACAGTGGGTCAATCAGTTATTTAAAAGAAAAACACTGAAAGATTTAAATTAAGTAATTGGTGTGGATGTTGAGTATAAAAGAGAAATACATAAAAGCAACACTTACACATTGAAGCTAGAGTGAGGCGAGGGCATGGTATCCCTGGACATACAAAATAAAAGCACATAATATGAAGTGTAACCAAAGTCCAAGATAGCGAAACAAAAAAGGCAAACAGTCCAACAGCACAGCTACTGCAAC